CTGCCCCTGAGGCGCACCCCAGAGACAGGTTCATCTCCCCTCTCACCCGCCTGTTAATTAGAAAGCTCCTGACATCCGCCTCTTCCGTTAAGAATTTCCTGAGGATGAGGAACATGTAGCAACCTCCCTTTCGCCCATTTCACCACCCCCAGCCTTCTGGAGGAATCACTTTGCATGTTAATTTACACCTACTCTTTTAGCAGCAAAATACCAACACATTTATGTGCAACCTCAGGAATGGGATTTTTCTTCTGGGAGAAACCTCCCTGAAGGCTGGGGCGTAACCCTTTACACACCAGTCCTAATTACAACTCACATTTATTGCACTCTCATGCTAAGCCTGGCAAGGCGCTAAAAGCTTCAATCCTTAATATAACCTACAACAGGGGGACTGTAAGTTTCCCCATTTTTCAAATGAGGAAACTGAGGCACAGGGTTGCATGTGGGTGTACAACACAGACCTCCTGAAATGAGGAGGGCTGCTTGCCACTCGGCTAATTATCCCAGACGGTGGTGGTTACTGAGTTCTTGCCTCTCTTCCGTGGGTGTTCTGTCCTTGTCCTCACTGCCAAGCCCTCAGCTATCACTCCTTGCCAGTGCCAGGAGCCCCGCTTCTGCTGCCAAATCCGCACAACCTATCTGCAGATGGCTGTAAACCGATAACCAAGCTGGGCTGAAATGAGTGCACAGGCTATCACTGGATCACCACACCCCTGCCGTCCCAAGGCCACTAAAGCAAATGGGCTCTGGGACAGCAGCCTCTTCAGTTCAGTTGAAGAGATCACTTTGAGCATCTACTTCATACCAGGCAGTGCCCTTGGTACAGGAGGCACAAAAGACACATGCATCCCAGACCCTCAGGGAGATGTGGTCTAATGGGCAGCTCAGGTCTCCCTGCAGTTGTCCCAGGTTCCAGCAGCTTTGGAGGTGCTTGCTACTCCAAGTGACCCTGAGAGCTGGTTAGAAATGCAATCTCTCAGACCCACTCCCTAAGCTACCAAATCAGAACTTGCATTTCAGGAGATCCCCGGGGGAGGATCTATATGCATTGTATTGGTCTAGACAGTTCAAAGATACCCACAGTATGATCTTAGGATATGAAAGGCACCATTACATCATGCCAAGTACTTAACTTGCACACTTGCTGAGATGCGTTCCTTTTCCCCATCCTTACTGCCTGCCCCTACTGCCACTTCTGCCCAACCCATATGATCTTATCCACCCACAAGCTCTTTAGAGAGCAACGAAGGAGTAACAGTCAATGAACAGGCACGTTACAAAATGCACCCAACGTACACAAGTACAATGGAAACGTGTCCTGCTGTGTGTGCTGCGTTTCCAGAAACAATACGCTCCAGTTAGTCTTGTCCCCAGATTTGACTTTTTATTTTACACAGCTTACATCTTCAGGTGCAGGCCCTTCGTTAGGTCTAGACCTGGCAGCGATGTGGCCTTCAGGCCCCACCCCAGAACTGTAAGGAGCCCATACCCGTGCCCGCATGCACAGTAAAGTGTGCCCTACGGTTCCGTTCCTTCAAGGAAGTCTAGCGACAAGGGCAATTCCAGGAAGAGGTAAGAGAATTCAAATGTCTGAGTCGCTGCTCATTTGGATATGGGGAGTATTGCTTGCTCCCACAAAGCATCCGTGTGGAGAAGCCCATGCTTTCCCTCTGTCCCTGCTCCCAAGTGCCTCCCCAGGGCGGAATGGTGCTTTCTTCCTTCACACAGCAGGACCCTTTGCTGGAAAGAGACTCTTGCTAGGACCTCTGTGGGTCAAGGCCAGCAGCTCTTAGTAGACTGCAACTCTTTCAGAAACTCAAACGCTGTGCAAGCTGACTCAGCAAGACCTCCCTTGCAGATGCTCCACACCGCACCGCTCATGGGCAACCAGGAGCCACAGGAAAGTGATTTGGATTTGTGCAGAGAGCTTTCTCCTCCCCTGGGCACTGCCCTACACCAAATCACCCAAGAAACATGAGACAGCAATGCCCTCACCTTGACTCACCAGACCACAGAGTCTTTCGGTAATTAGGCCTGAATCCCAGCACAAATTAGATCTGATAATTTTCTAAAACTCTAATTGTATCCAACTCTGAGACCAGCAAGACAGACATTCTTCCCAGTTCAATAAAATTACTCAAAGAACTAATGAATGCTCTTGCTTAATTTCTCCCAAGATTGCCCTCTGGAAAGAAAGCAATCTGAAAAAGAAATGCCTAAAACAAACAAACCAACCAACCCAGCTGCTGAAACTGTGAGGTTATAGATTTGCAGGGGAAGTGCGGTACACTTGCAATAACAGAGTCATCACTTATTTCAAACATTAACATATGTAACAGCATAAGATCAAGTTCATGAGGTTTCTTCTCAAACACCAACAATGGTGGTGGTAATATTTGTAACGGTTTTTTTTTTTTTCTTTTTGAGACAGAGTCTCACTCTGTTGCCCAGGCTGGAGTGCAATGGCACAATCTCGTCTCACTGCAACCTCCACCTCCTGGGCTCAAGCGATTCTCCTGCCTCAGCCTCCTGAGTAGCTGGGACTACAGCTACTCGGGAGCTGTACTGCACCACCACACCCAGCTAATTTTTTGTATTTTTAGTTGAGATGGGGTTTCACCATGTTGGCCAGGCTGGTCTCTAACTCCTGACCTCAGGTGATCTGCCTGCCTTAGTCTCCCAAAGTGCTGGGATTACAGGCGTGAGCCACCGCACCCAGCCAATATTTGTAATTTCTATATGAACTTGTAAGAATACTGTAAAGTAAGTACTCTGAATTCTCACAACAAATTTATTTTTATTGAGAAGCATAGTAAATAAAAGAAACTTCCAAAGAACAAGGACAGACTTTTGCACATTGTTTCAATAAATGAGGCCATTTATCTTGTTCTAGTTCTGTTATGTCACTATATCCTTGTTAGGCAGAGTCAATTCCCTTGATTTACAATTGTTTTGTGAATTATACACACAGACTAAAAGACATTTAATTTCTAAGAAAAAACAGAAAAAAAATTCAAGCATTTCTTAAGCAAAAATCCATCCAACCTTTTCAAGAAGAACTATTTAATGGTACGGCTGCTATTGTTAATATAGTTTCAACACCATTCGATTTTAATCCACCAGATTTAGTCAAAAAATAACATTTCTACCAGTATGTTTTCTCACTCTTCTTCCCAAAAATCCTTAACTCTTTCAGATAGGTTCTTCGTCACATCACGCCGAATAAAATAAACTCAAAGAAAATCAGACCACCGAAATTAACAAACGTATGGCCCATTTCTAAAGACTCACATACAGCCTGACCAGGCCACCTTTGGGACACCAGTGTGTCAGGTTAACTAAGGACAGATACCCCAGTTTGCATAAGCAAACCACACCGGGGAAATTAACACAGATCTGCCCTGAAAACCTACTCACCTTCTTGGGCATCACCACAGAGAATAATGTCTCCTTCAGTCAGAAACTCTCAAATCACCACAGAAAGAAACCTCGACTCCTCAACTTTCTTTGCCCTAACTGGTCTGGATGGAGAATTGACTCCCATTCCCTGGTGCTAGCAGTGAACATGAAATTCAGGACAGTGCGGTGAAGTTGCAGGTGAGGTGTGGCTCATATGTCTAAACGTAGTGTGTTTTGCAAACTCCAAGTTGCCACCAGGAATTTTTCTTGTAATGAAATAGAAAAGAATAAAAATTATCTCAGTGTATCACAGATAGTAAAACTGAGTACTGTTTCATAAAAACTGTCATTTTAATCTATGTATCAATATGTGTGCCTCTGTGTGTGTACTTCATCACAATGTAAATTTAGGTCTTATTGTAGACTGCAGTCAAAGAAGTTTAAAAGCTGCCATCCTCAGGAACACCCAGTGAGTACCAGTGTGTGCGTGTAACCAGTAGCCCCATCCCAAACAGCCCAGAGAAAGGCTTTCCCAGCACCGGGCTTCCAGAATCCTGTGCTAAGCTGACAGCACAGAAGAGGCAGTCAACAGGGCTCTGAATCCCAAGTGCCTGAAGGAGGAATGAAACAATCTCACCAGAGAGGAAAGGACAGCTGTGACAGTCACCCTCCCTGAATAAGATCACTGAGACCACGGATGGACATCTTCCGAGCTAACCTACAGTACAGGTAAGAATGGGAAGCTGCATTTTTAGACAACTATCCATTAGAAACCATATCAACATATGAACAGTGCATGTTGGTAGCCTTGGATGCTCAAGGATGAGAAACCTTGGGCAAATCAGACAAAAATTCTCAACCACAGGACAGGACAAACTAGCCCAAAGGTTCCTTAACTACAGAGTAGGTAAGAAGAAGCTGTAATTTTACCCCATCTGGGAACATTAGGAAAAAGGCAACTTTCTGATACTCCGACTTCAGTAGAACCGGATTCTTCCAAAAATATAAATGTCAAAGTCACCCATTCACAGTATAATTTGCACCAAAGTGCAAAATGGGGTACATATGTGTACCAAAGAACAAAATCAACCGGAACTGAGCTGCCAGGGCAAAATTACAACAGAAACTTAAAATAATATATTGTCCCACCCACCTTCCAAAACATTAGCTCAAAGACATTCCTCCTTTAAATACAGTTTTACTAATTATAAAAATAATCATTCAATAAATATTTGTTGAGCACTATTTTAGGTGCCACAAACACTGAGTGAGAAAAACAAAGTCCAATTTTACCAATTTTTTCTTTCTGTGCAAATACAAATATCTCATTAAGATAACACCGAATATGGAACATTGCACCCAGATGGTTTCACTTTTAACATTAAAGTTTCTCCCATAAAATCAAATGTTCTTTGAAAACACCATTCTTACTGGCTACATAATATTCTAACATGGAAATGGTATCATGATTGACTGAAAGACACTCCCAAATGCTTACCACAAGATAAAAACACAAAGCAGAGACATCATGAAATAGAACGTTAGACCTAGATTCAGAGCCTTAAGGAAAAAGAAGAAAAAAAAGGAAAATACAGTCTTACGAATGTCAGAGACCCCACTATTTTCCTCCACAGGGATGAATATTCACGTCCACACCACTGGCCACATCAAGCTCTAATTTGTGCATCTCCCTTTATAAGCCCCACTCCCTCTTTGATCGAAGAGAACATTGTCCGCACAGAACAATACGTTTTCATTTCAATTTCCCTTCTTTTCAGGAAAGGAAATGTTTGCACTTCAAAGGGTTTCTTTGAAGAGTAGCCCTTCAGCTCTGGCCTGTCTAGGTTGGGCGTTACGTGGACTCAGCAGGGTGTGTGGAGTCTGGGCGGCTGCCCACCGAAGTCACTCTCAAGGCCAGCTCCTTCAAGGAGAGGGTCTGGGGCCGGAGCAGAAAAAACAAACACATGGAAAAATACTCAAGGCTTTTGATCATGACCTTCAGAGGCCCATTTTCACACATAACATAGACCTACAGCTCAGGGAAACTGAGGTACAAACGATGGGGAGCTGAGGACAATGACGTAGTAGCTTCTAAGAACAAAATCCTTCCAGACACCAGACTCGCTTAGCAAAGACCCCTCCTGGGTGAGGAAATGGGAGAGCCACTCTTACAGCTGTTATGGCGAAGGGACCGCCTAAGCAGACAAAGCAGAGAAGTGAGATCCAAACTTCACTCTCTGCACCAGTTTTAAAACCTTTCCCTAGGAACTTATGAGACGCACAGTCATCAGCAAACAGCAAACTTCACATGGTAAAATTTCACATTTTATTTCTTCTGTAGCCCACCGGTAGGGGCCAAGAGGCTTATTAAAAGGCAAGTCTAGCAACCGCATGAAGCACCCAAGAGGTCACTGACACGGGGCCAGTGCTGTTTCCCTCAATCGGGCTCCAGGCCCCATCCTTAACCTCTGCCAAGTCCAGGAAGCAAGGGGTATAGACCAGACAAGAGTGGGCCTGCAACATTTCTTTTCAAGTCTCAAACAAGTTCTGGATATTTATTAACAATCTCCACCCTTCCCCACCCGGAGGATATGCACCACAAAGGCACCACCAAGGCTGGTTAAGTCCGCCTGCTCAGTGGGCACCTGCCCAAGGGGTGGGCAGGAGCATGAAAGACCGTCAGCTCCAGACAGGGCTGGCTCCTCCCACAGCCCCAGGACTCCGCTGCGGGGCTCCTGCCTGGTGTGTGGGTGGTAGAGGGACCACGGGACTGCGTGGCCAGGTCACCAGAGCTGAAGGAGCTGAGAAAGTCTTCCCACCACCTTTCTGGTTGATTACTCAGCCTCTGAACTGGAATTATGAATGGTTTTTATTTTCTCCTTCTTTTAATTTTCTGCAGTTTCCAAAATTTCCACAACAAAGCATTCTAACTTTTAGAAACATTTTTTCTTAAAAAGGCTCATGAGGTAGAAAATTAGACTACAGCTTTTTTGAAAGAACCCCTACACTGCACAAGTCCTTCCCCAAAAATACCTAGCTATAAAGGACATTATGTGGACGACTGCAAGTCGAATATGGACTGTCTAGCAATCTGACTTTGCTATCGTACCATGGTTATATGAGAGAAGGTCCTTGTTCTTAGGAAATATACACCGAAGTACAGAGAGCAAATAAAAAGGCATGATATCTTCAGCTTACTCTCAAATGGTTCAGAAAAAATGTATATGTCTGTGTGCATGTGAGTTTGTGTGTGGGTGGAGAGACAATAGAAGGAGGCAAAACATAAACCACTTGCACATCTGAGAAGAGGGTACTCAGGAGTTCCTTGCACTCCTGCAACTTTTCTTTTCTTTTTTTTTTTTTTTTTTTTTTGAGATAGCATCTTACTCTGTCACCCAGGCTGGAGTGCAGTGGTGTGATCTCAGCTCATTGAAACCTCCGCCTCCCAGGTTCAAGTGACTCCTGTGTCTCAGCCTCCCGAGTAGCTGTGACTGCAGGCATGTGCCACCAACACCTGGCTAACTTTTGTATTTTTAGTAGACATGAGTTTCACCATGTTGGCCAGGGCTGGTCTCAAACTCCTGGCCTCAAGTGATCTGTTTGCCTCGGCCTCCCAAAATGCTGGGATTACAGGTGTGAGCCACCATGCCTGGCCTTTGTAACTTTTAACTTTGAAATGTTATCCAAAAACTGCTGAAAAAGAAAAGGGGAAAAGGAGAAGGGCAAAAAGGGTTAGGGAAGAGTTTTCCTAACTCTAATTGCCAGTCTTTCCCAGGGGGCCTCCATGGGGTCCCAGAAACTGCACCCTAATGCCCCAGCTCCTGGACCAGGCCTCGTCCCAAGGGAGGGCAGGAGGTGCCCCTGACACTGTGGAAAAGCTGCGGGCCAGGAAGACACTCCCAGGTCACTTTGGGGAAGACGGGCCCTCGCTGCAGGCCCTGGTGTGGACAGCTCCTGCCCCAGGCTGTCTGAGAGTGTTAAAGAAGCATCCTCTATGGAAAATGGAAAGGCGGCACCTCTGCAAGATATTGTAGAAATCATCAAAGCCAAGCCAAGGGCAGGACGACAGAGGCCACTGGCCTTAAGAACGATGGAATACACAAAAGGAAGCTGACTTTCCCCTACGAACAGTCTCGGTTCCCACAAGACCCCCTGCAACGGGGTCTCCCCAGGTGGAGATGGAGGTGGAGTGTGGGCATAGCTGGATGGTGATAAATCAGACAAAGCAACCTTGTGGTCTGGGCAGGCGGCATTGCATCCAGTCAAAGGCTGGTGATGTAAATGCCAAACTACTGACCCAAAAAGAATGCAGCCCAGCCTGTCATACACACTGGCTCCTGACACTGGCCACGTCCCAGCGCAGCTGCCCCAGGGACCCCAGGGCTCCAGCTGTGCCAGACGCCTGGACTTGGGAGGGGGAAGACCTGCGTTCAGAGACAGCAGAGGGAAATCAGGGCAAAGAGAGGGGAGGCAGGGTGCCATCCAGCGTTGGGGCGCATGACCAGTGCCAGCACCACTTGGACTCAGCCAGAAACAGAGGGACACAGGCAGATGGGCTTCAGATCTGTCTGCCTCCTACTCACACAGGGCAGGGCAGGCCAGACCAGGCCTATACCGAGACAGGCTGGAGTCCAGGTAAAGGCAGATATCTAGGTTCCAATCTTCACTCGGCCGCTGACTGCCTACTTGTGTGCCCATGGGCCACCTGCCTCCCTCCCCCCATCAGTCAAAGCAGAAGGGCCGACCTCACTGGGTGGCTGGGAGGACTCAAATGAAACATAGATAAAGCGTAGAGCACATGCTGACCATGAAATAAGTGCTTGCAAGGATTGATCTTACCTAGCCCCGGGGCCCCTCCCTTCCTTCCTACTTCGCCTAAGAGACTTTAGCTAATGGCACTTGGTAGGCAGAAAAGATGCAGAGAAGGACACTCTGAAGACATCCGTAACAGATCAACTCCAGCCACTTTGTGGGGAGGTGAGCCCCTGCCTTCTCACTGCTGCCCCCCGGTGGGTGTCCCCCACCACCCCGCCCTGTATGGAGGCATCCTATCCTACTGACACAAGCACGGGATGAGTGAGCTGGGAAACACACGGCCCAGAGTTTCAGCTTCTCAGCTTTGCTTTTTCTAAAACCCAAGGTCTTCAGAGTAATTTGAACAAAATGTTTAGGATGACTATAGCTAGGGCAGTCACTCCCATCCTGCCTCCCACCAAACACACACACATACACATACACATACAGTAAACACTAAGAAAGGGGCTATGAGCTCTGTTTCCCAGGACTCCTAGGAGTCACCAAGCCCAAGCTGTGTGGGTCTGAGACCTAAGCAAACCTGCACCCCATGGCCAGGGGGACACCAGGATCCCAAAGAGAGATGGCTTCAAGTCCATCCAGGCAGTCAGAGTCAAAACAGCCCAGAGACTATTGTTCCTTCCCTCAGACCTAGGACCAGATGAGATGGTGAACCTGTCGGCAGATGCCTCAGAGGCCCACATCCCTCCTTCAGCACCCTGGGACTATGTGTGCCCCTTCTAATTCAGACACAAACCCAAGGAAAGAGCACAACATTTTAATGCCTTGGTAAAATGAGAGAGCGAAATGAAGTTGTTATAAAAATTATTTTTCTCAGGGCCAGGCTAAGTGGCTCATGACTGTAAACCTAGCACTTTAGGGAGGCAAGGCAGGCGGATCACTTGAGGCCAGGAGTTTGAGACCAGCCTGGGCAACATAATGAGATCCCTCCTCTACCAAAAAATAAAAATTAGCCGGGTGTGGTGGTACATACCTGTGGTTCCAGGTACCGGAGAGGCCGAGGTGGAGGATCACTTGATCCCAGGAGGTAAAGGCTACACAAGCTGTGACTGCACCACTGCACTCCAGCCTGAGTGACAGAGCGTGACCCTCTCTCAAAAAAAAAATATATATATATCCATATACACATAGATATATTTCTCCCACGCCTAAAATCAAGGAACTGAGCCTTCTTTCCAGTATAATAGTTAACACTTATATGCAACATTTAGACTTGTGCCAGAGGCTGTGTTAAATCCATAGCATGGATTATCTCGTTTAAATCCTCTCAGTCCTATAAGGTAGGCACTAGAAGTCAATTATTATGCAAACAATATGAAAAAGAATTTAAATGTGGTTCCAAGGACTATCAGAAAAAACACTTATCGCAGAAGTGGAACCCACTCTGGGGCTCTGCTCTTTCCGCCTGCAGCGGTCATGACGTCTCATTCGACCCCACAGCGTAGAGGCCCCATAACCTCATGTTGCAGAGGCCCCACATCGAGCAGAGGCCACTCCCGGAGTCACCACTGCTAGACGGTCTCTACAACGCAGAACTCACTGTGCAGGACACGCGGATCCACTTCTAAAGAAACAGGAAAGCAGCTGGTTGTCCTCACAGCCAAGAACCCGATCTGAACAAATATTCTGAAGAAAGCACTGCAGTAGGAATATGGAAAGCTAGGAAACAAAACTGCCATGCCCTCTGTGCCCCCAGGAAAGGGAGGGGCAAGGGGACAATCAGAAAAAAACTGGAAAGACAATGTAGCCACACACAGTCCTACTAGAAGAAGGGGCCTCCTCTCCCACCTCCAAATAAACCCCCAGGTTTCCTTGCTCTTGACTTTCGGTTGCCACGGTCAGAACTGCAGGCTA